GGGGGAGGGGGGGGACATGGGGGTCATGGAGCCAGGCGGGGCCTGGAGGGAGCGGCACAGTGCAGCAGGGACATGGGTGGGGATAACGGCACGGAGACTTCAGGAGCGATTGGCAGGGCATGGGGGAAGTGGGTGGGGATGGAGAGGTGAAGCAGGGGCCCAGGCAGCTGGGGGAGGCACAAGACTCAATCTCTCTGCAGCCCCAGAAAGATGGGTGGTGAGAAGAGGCCCCAGCCGTGGGTACAGGGGGGTGCGGGTAGGATCTGTGGGTGCAGGTAGGATCTGTGGGTGTGGGTGTGGGTGAGGAGCCACAGCCCAGCTCGGTGCCACAGCCCTACCATCCCTGCTGCCAGGTGGTGCTGGGCCTGTTTGGAACCTGTCTGGCCATGGCAGTGTAGTCCTGGGGGTGTGAAGTGATTATGCTGGGCCCTGAACACCTCGAGGCTCCTGTCCTGATCTCGCTGTATTTGTGGGGTGGTGGGCAAGGAGGTGCTGGTGGTTCCCAGCCTGTCCAGGCTCTGCTGCTGCCCCCTCCCAGTCCTGGGGACAGGCCGGTGGTGTGGGCTGGGCAAGCAGCAGACAAACAGGCTGGGGCTGCTCAAGGCCCTTCATCCGCCTCTCTGCAGACCCCCCAGATGCACAAGGTGGTGTTTTCTTGGCACCTTCCTCTGCTGTGCCGCGGACCCAGCCCTGCACCCTCCCAGCTCCAACCCCACGTGCTGGGAAAGAGCCGGGCGCTGGCACCGAGCGGCTCTCGAGGAGCTGGTGCCGGGAGGGCAGACAAAGGCAAATTCCCGGAACAATGTGTGGAGCCGGCAGCACTCCCGGCTCGGGTTTCCATCCTGTTTCCCCTCCTGAGTGCTCTAGTAGAGGCTCTTTGCTCATTCCCTGTTGGTGTCTGCATGTTCATTCCTCTGCTGCTCCTTCTGGGATGCTCTGGGGTGTTTAACTTTGTTTGACAGTGCAGTGTGTGCTGTGCTCAGCACACCTGCCAGCACACCTGCCCTCCCCGATCTCCCTGACAATGGGACCACTCTGACTGCAGGATGGGTGCAAAACCTGCTTCGGTGTGTGAGGGGAGCTGGTGGGGGAGAGGACTGGAGCTCTCTGGCTCTGCCTGCAGCTGGTGTGAGCCCGACACACCTGATCCCGACCCAAGCTGGAGCTGAGCCGCAGCCGGGGCCTTTGCTCCTGGCGTGTCAGTCCTGCTCTTGGATCGCCTGCGCCATGGAGACTCCTAAGCCAATTAAAGCAGTAACTCTCAGCACTCATCCTCCAGGACATGCTGGTCTCAAGCAGCAGCTGAGGCTCTTTCTAATCTCTGGATTTGGGATTAGTTCGGGTGACCAGTTAAATGCAGTTTGTTAAACCCATTAGTGGGGTTGGATCTGGTGCAGGAGGATGTGGCAGTTAGAGAAATGTTGGATAAAAGCTGCAGGTGAAAGAAAGGATTTTCCCTGGTCAGAGCACTGTGTCCCTTGCCAAACATCTCCCCCTTCCTAATTTACCTGCCTCCTCCCTCACCTCACCTCTACCAACCTCACTGCACAGCCCTGAGCCCCAGTCCCAAAAATGAAAGCTGCTTCCTACCTGCAAAAGCAGCTCTGAGCACTGTCTCTGTGGTTATCCCTAATTAAAGCTGTTGAAGTTGTTGTGGGTATGTTCATGGTGCACACGCACAGACTCCATCACAGATGGTCTCTGGAGATGCTGCCAGTGCCGTGACCATGTGCCCATGTAAGCAGCAGCAGCATGGGCCTATCCCCAGCTGGTCCCACATCACCACTTGTGGTGTGCTTGTGGGCCATGCTTGGATGGTTTTGCACCTCAGGATTGGTTATCCACTCACAAAGTCCCCAACTTCTTCACCAAAGCAGCTCTGCAGGGCAGGGGTGCTGCTCATGGCAGTGTGCCTCCTGCCCAGAAGTGTGTCATTGTCCCCTGCCACCTCCATGGGCTGGCAGTCGGCCAGGGTGTGCTTCAGGTCCCATTGGGCTGGGAACAGCCCTATCTGTGTCTGTGTCTGTGTTAGACCAGGGTCACACATGGTTTGGCTGCCTGGTCCCTCTTTTCCTGAAAGCCCCCATCAGCCTGTGAACCCCCATCCTCTGCTGACCTGGGGAGCCAGTGCCACCCCTCAGTCCTGGTGCCAGTCTGGTAGCAGTCCAGGAGGGCAAGGACATCCTGGCTGGGCTCATGAGGTGTGGCAGAGCTGGGACCTCTGCTCCCTAGAGCTTTGCTCTGTCTGTGTGGGAGCAGGAGCCCTCCCAGCCCTGGGAGCACACAGCTTTGGGGTATCAGCTTGTCCTGCTGCAGGACCCAGTGCTGGCATTCCCCACCTGGCCCTGGTGCAAAGGACAAGGGTTTTTTAGGGCCAGACAAAGCCTTTCCCTGAGCACAGGTGCCCTCAGGTACTCCCATCTGTCCCAGAGATGCCCAGGGCATCTTGTGGTGTGGGGCTGGTGGTGCACAGTGAGTGCAGTGACATGGGCACATGTGCAGCTCTCCCTGATGACCTGGCTTGGTAGGATGTGTAAGAGATTAAAACGGCTGTAACAGAGAAGCAATTTTCTCCTTGTTTAAATACAGGATTAAGGGATGAGATCCCAAATTATCTTCTAGGAAAATCACACTTTCTACTGCTCACTCTGGGATCAAAGGGTCCCTCATCCTTTTCCATCTAAGGACGATGATTAGCGGATTTGTATGTAACCAGTGTTGGGCTTTTCTCCTTGTTCATTTTTTCCAGCACCTGAAAACTGGACTCAGTAGTTGAGAGCTGGGGGAAAACAGTGACACTGGTGACAAATCCAGCTGTAGTGGGGCTCTGACAAAACCAGTGCCCACCCAAGCCACCACCTTCCTACTGCAGGGTTTTTGTTGGATCACTCTTTGCAATACAAAGGAGGGAGCAATTAGCCCTGAGAGCTCTCACTGTCGGTTTCTGCCTCATCATCAGTTTTTTTGAAAATTAAATGATTTTTTTTCAAGTGATTGATTCTGTGTTTCCCGTGCAGCTGCCGCGGCGCAGGGCTGGGGAGCGCCCGCCGTGCTGGCAGCGCCGGGATCGCTCACTGGGCTGAAACACCACGGGATGATCAAACACAGAACAAATAAGAACCAACATTTCATTCGGGAGAGTTGATGGGAGATAAATTCTCGTTTTAATGAGACCTATGGAGATGGCGGACAGAGGGATAATTGTGCCCTTGCTGAAAGCTGGGGAAGCCATGGGTCACTTGTTGAGCAGTGCAGGACGCAGGGCTGGGGCTCTGTAGTGTGTGTGCAGCGGCTGCTCTGTGCCACGGACAATGGCACCGCTGATGAGCCCAATTATCAAGACTAATTACAGGGACAGGATGAGGTCACCAGCTCCCAAGTCTGGTTCATGCATGGGCACCCTGGGGCAGCAGTGACACCCTACAGCAGCCAGGGCTCTACATTGCTTCCCTTGTTGTTTCCTATGCTGTGCCTTCCAGCCCTGGGATGCCCACTGGTTTGTTCCCCACCAGAGAGGAGGGTCCTTCACTGGATCCTTCTGAGGGGCAGTGGCTGTGGTGGTGCCACAATGGCAGCACTGGCCTGGCTGCTGTGAGCAGGTGGCACTGGGATGCAGATCTGCGCCAGGAGCCAGGAGCCAGGTGGCCACAGCCTCTCCCCACCCCAAGCAGTGAGGCACAGGCTGCAGCAAAGGCTAAAATTAGGTGCTGCCCCGGAGGTGGAGGTTAAAACGTCACTTTGACACCAGCACAGAGAAGCCGGTGAGGCTGGGAGTGGGGCTGGCAGGGCAGAGCAGATGGCAGCAGGTTGTCCTGAGGGCTCGGTGGCCCCAGCTGATGGCCCGCACTTTGCTTTCCAGGCTGTGCAGCCCCCGGGGGTGGGAGCACTCTGCTGTCCCTGCAGCGGGAGCAGGGCTGGCTCCTGCCTCCTCCTGCTGACGGATGAGCTGAAAGTGCTGTGATCAGGCTTTCTCCCATGCTCTGGGCTGATGGAGTTGTCTGGCAGCACATTCTGGAGCTGATGGAGAAGCCGTTGCTCTGCCAGAGGATTTTATTCACTGGGAGGAATCTGTGGCCTGACGTCCTCCTGCTGCACCTGTTTTCCTCCTCATCCGGCTCCCTTCTCCTCCTCGCCAGCAGAGCCCTGGCCGTGGTGCAGGCAGGGCTGCCCGGGGAAGCCCTGCCTGGCCAGCCCTGTGTCCCCTCCTGTGGTGCCAGATCTGGCCCGCTGCCGTGGGGAGGGTCCCTGGTGGCGGTGACTCAGCCAGGCGTGCGTCGGTGCCACGCACACCTCCACTGACCCCCGGCCGATGACCAGATGGCCGAGGCCAGCGTGTGGCTGCACCCGCAGCCCTGCCAAGAGCCCAGGCAACACCGGCATGAACGCCGGGAGCTTCCTGCGGGCAGCACGGCACAACCAGCTGGTTCCTCCGTGCTGGCCGGGGCAGGAGGAAGCAGGTTGGGCTCTGCGCCAGCTGGGACCAAAATATCCCTTTTGAGAAGCAGCCGGATGTGGTGCTGGGTTGGGGCAGCCTGAATCCATGGGTGGCTGGAAAGCGGAGCTGTGGATGGGATCCCCAGCTTGGGGAAGTCAGACCCTGCATGGGTGGTTAAGGATTGGGGTGGTGTGATGTATGGCTGGGTGGGCAGTGGGGTGATGGCCTGGGGCTCTGGGGTGCTGAGCTGGTTTTGAACAATCCACTCCTTCCCAAATTGCAGCCCTGGCCTGGGACAGGGATGCATTTGTTGTTGCTGCTGCCCTGCAGCTCCTGGCACCCCTGGCCTAGGGGGCTTTCCATGGTCCCAAATCGGCAGGAACGGGTTGGCAGTGGTCACAGGGCATTCCTGGTGTAGGCAGAGTGTGGTGAGCTCACCTGGCACCCTTCTCCCACCTCTCACAGGTACCTGCGCACGCTGTACCTGGGGCTGCAGAGCCGGTGGCAGGCCGAGCACCGCCGCCGCCACTTCTACTGGCGGATGATGTTCGAGAGCGCGGACATCAGCATGCTGCGGCTGCTGGAGGCCTTCCTCAAGAGCGCACCCCAGCTCGTGCTGCAGCTCAGCATCATGGTGCAACAGAACAGCATCGAGCCATTGCAGGGTAAGGGACAGCGCTTGCAGGGGACAGTGTGGGGGGAGGGAGGTCCCCGGTTTCTGCTGACTCTCATGGCTGCTCCCCGCAGGACTCTCAGCCTCGGCCTCGCTGGTCTCGCTGGCCTGGATGATTGCGTCCTACCAGAAGGTGCTGCGGGACTCGCGGGAGGACAAGATGCCCATGTCCTACAAGGGCGCCGTGGTGCAGATCCTCTGGCACCTCTTCACCATCGCTGCTCGTGCCATCGCCTTTGCCCTCTTCGCCTCCGTGTTCCAGCTCTACTTCGGCATCTTCATCGTCACCCACTGGTGCATCATGACCTTCTGGATCATCCAGGGCGAGACGGATTTCTGCATGTCCAAGTGGGAGGAGATCATCTACAACATGGTGGTGGGCATCATCTACATCTTCTGCTGGTTCAACGTCAAGGAGGGACGGAGCCGCTACCGCATGTGCATCTACTACATCATCACTCTGTCAGAGAACGCCGCCCTCACCATCCTCTGGTTCCTGTACTACGACCGCAAGACCACCTCCGACTTCAACGCCTTAATCCTCGTCTGCGTGGTTAGCTCCAGCTTTGCCCTCGGCATCTTCTTCATGTTCATCTACTACTGCCTCTTGCATCCCAACGGCCCCATCTTCAGCCACCGCTCCGTGGGCTGCATCTTCCGGCAGGAGCCACCCCCAGTGCCGGGGTCCCCCGTGGAAGCCGTCACCAGCCCCCCGCGCTCGCTGCCGCGGACTACAGGGGGGGAGCGGGACGGGGCGCCCGGGGAGCGGGACAGCTGCGTGCCCGTCTTCCAGGTGAGAC